CATTAGGGGGAGGCTGTGCATGTCACATCTTGAAGAGATCACTTCCAGGCCAAAGTGGGATGACAGAGAGGCAGCGCTGATCTGATGCCGATATAGTACATCCAAAAGTGGACAGGGTGAGTCAGATGTCAACAGGGGTCAAGCTTTGGGGGTCTGTGGGGTGACAGGAGCATAGGGGATTGCAACATTCCCCCCCAAACCATCCTCTCAGTGAAGCAAATAAAAACTTCATGAATGAGGCTCTGTTGGAAGAGAGGATGAAGGGGGAGTGTCTTCTGCTGTATCTTGCAACAAGGAGGCAAGATGTGCATCATACTTGTCATGGATGTGATCAGGGAGAGTGGAGAACAGTAGATTATACTGTAGCTGTCGCAATTTTGGAAGAATGATGGACGAGACTGGTATGAAGATGTTGCAGGGGGCAGGGAGGAAGGATCCATATGCTTCTTGGACTGGAGAGACTGAAATGACCACATAAGACCTTTCCAAGCAAATGACAGACCTGAGGCAACCAAAGAATGTCCTCCTGGAGGTCATACTGACAAAAAGAACATGCTGTCCAAGCTGGATGGGCTGAGAGGGGGCAGATGAGGGTGGGATGTACCAGGACACTTCAGGATGGAAGCTGGTAGGAACTCCTGGTAGATATATGTAGCCATGGTCCCTAGCAAAGGGGACAAGCAAAATGACTGATGTGGAGGCAGCCATATCAGAAGAATTAGTGAAATGAGTGTCTTTTGGAGGGAGTGCTGTAGAAATGTGTGGAGTGCACAAATCCTTTCCAATCTTGGAAGGTAGGATCGCGTGGCTGAGCACTACAAGCGAGTGTGGGAATGGTTTCGGTGTCTGCAGAATTGGTGGAGATACGTCGAAAACCAGAATGCTGTACACAGGTGCTTAAGAATTTTATTGGCACTTAACCTGCCTCCTCCTTTTTCTTTGGCATTGACAACTTGTTCTTGTGTGAGGGATGACTGCCAACATTGCTGGCTGTCCTTCTTCACATGAGGGCTATGGTCTTCACCTCCATTCATCAGCTACATCCATGTCCACCTCACCAAACACCTTTGGTGTGTGACAGCACCAGGCTGGATTAACGTAAGTTGCTATTCCATTCTGCTCAGTGTACCTGTAACTTCTATTTTATAGACCTCAAAACCGAGAGGAGTTATTCAACCTTTGCCATGCTGGACTTAGAAATGCCATTGAACAGATATTTGGTGTTATAAAATGCAGGTGGAGGATTCTTCAAATTCCCCCTGAATATAGCATCCACACCCAAACTCAAGTACCTGCTGCTCTCTGTGCCCTCCACAATTTCATATGGCACTATGATCCAGAAGAGTTCTTTGACCCTGAACTTGCCATGGACATAGGAGAGGATGATGGTATTAGAAGCCTTGGTGATGGACCAGCAGATGCTGCAGAGAGGAGAAGGGCTGATAATAGGCATGACAACATTGCAGAAGAGATGTGGATTGACTATCAGCACCAGCTTACAATTAGGGGCTTTCTCTGAGCCTGAACATTCAGATTTCATGGTGTACAAATATATGTTCTTGCAATTGTTTCACACTCATGTAGAAAAATAACTTCCATTGTCAATAGGAAGCTAGTCATAGTCATGTACATTTTATTATGTACATGTTTGTATAAAGGGGGGGGGGGGACTTGAAAGGATATGCAGGGGGGGGGCTACATTTGTATATTGTAAAAAAAACAAAACAAGACAAACACCTATCTCTGCCCATCCTGGTACTTCATCAGCCGACACTGCACCCAAATCTGCTTCGCTGGCTCCTGATGCTTGAGGAAAATATTCACTTCATCCAGGGTTGCACTGAGGAAGTAGTTGCCGATGTTGATCTGATCATCTGTCGAGAGCTGTGGCATGCTGTTGATGTAGTCCATGGCAGCATCGACGAGGGGATTGGTAGTGGGTGGTGGGGGCAATGGGGCAGCAATCGTGTGCATGAAATTATCGAGCGTGGAGGTGATGGCAGCAATGAATGAACTGCGATCTTCTTCAGCACATGCTTTGGCCGATGGGGGCTGAGAGTGCTTTGATCCACCTTCAGACATTGCAATGGACTCGGCTTTCCTTTTTCTGTGACTGATGCTGGTGACAGCTGATGATGATGATGACCCGGCTGACGCATGTGACAAAAAACTTGATGGTGTGGAAGGGGGGATGGAGTTTGGATCCACAGACTGTGTGTCCTTGTGATGGTGAGCATTGAGAGCATGCATCATGTTGAGGAGGGAGAGGGAAGGAGGGGGGGTAGGAATGGTTGAAGCGGTGGGGGGTGCGGTAGAGGCAGGAGTATCAAAGGCAGAGGTCATGGTTGTACAAGGCGCAGTAGTGGCGTGTGGCTGGTAGATAAACTGACCTCGGCCATGCAAGGGGAGAAGGAGCTTGACGCTGGCAAAGTGGCGGAACCTGGAATTGCGAAACAGCTTCGCATCTTTGTGTGCCTGACTAGATGTTAGTGGATGATCCGACAAGAAAAGAACTACATTACCTTTACATACCGATCCCAAAGATCAGCATTGTCCAGCGAGATCATCACACTGTGCTCATCGTCATAAGCAAAGCCAGAGGCCACCAATTTAAGATCGGTGATGGCATAGTAGGATTTTTTAAGCTGGATAATTGTTAGCAAGGCAAAAAAAAAGAATGATACAATGACTTACCACCTTGAACTTCTGCTCACATGATTCAGCTGTCTTATCACCATTATCCAGACTTGGTGGATGATTATGAGCCATGTGGACTGCTGCGGCGTTCCATGTAGCCTTCTTAAAGTTCCCATTGCCAGCCTGTGAAAGATCAGAGGCCAAGAAATCCAATAATGTGCCTTCCTCCTCTGTTGTCCATACTGCAGCTTTCTTGCGAGTCCTGGGGGGAGGCAGGGGGTTCCATGGGCCTAGAGGATTGATTGTAAGGCTGTGTGAGTGCAACAAGTGGGTTGATCCTGCAGATGAGCCAGACATTCGATGATCGCAGTAACTGGGTGACAATGGTTCATACCTCAGGTGGATGCATGTGACAGTTCACATCATGTGAACCTCTTAACCGAAGCTGAAGTCAAAAACTTGGACTTTGCATTTGCAGGGTGAATGGTGCCTTAGGGTTTCGCTTTTTTTGTTGCTTAGTCAGCACTACCTAGTGACTGGCATAGTTAGTTTTCCTTAAATAAAATAGATGAGTTACCAGAGACAAGAGATGAGTTCAAGCAGGTTGTTTCCCTGCACCCAGACAGCCTCAGAAGCTTTCAGATGACAACCAGGATCCTTGCCTAGGCTATAGAAGCCCCTTTGGCCTACTCACTCCCCATCAGATTTTACCCTTCCTCTCACTCTTCCTCTCAAATCAGTCTTTTCCTACAGTGGAGCAGAGTTCTTTCGGCAGGAGGAGGCTTGGTGGAGTGGGAGACTTCTGACCTGCACTCCCAGTAGCATGCATCTACTGTCTGGGCCAACTCGCAGAGTGCATGAAGAGTGGCAGGCTTGCTGACATGGGACACTTCATCCTTGATGCAGTCAGGGAGACCCAAGTAGAAGTGGTGGCGGAGTGCGCCTTCGCCATAGTCTTTTACCTGAGAAGCCCAGTGGTTGAACTCCACTAAGTACTTTGCAATATGTGAAGAGTCCTTCATGGTAAGATTTTCCAGATGTGGATGGCATTGGCAGCAGCATCATGAGGGCCGAAGTTGGTAGTGAGCTCATGGAGGAACTCGCAGTGGTCATCCATCCACAGCAGACAATTAAGGTAATCATCTGGATTGAGAAGGTCTGGTTTGAACCAGGCCAATGCCATGCCCTTAAGGTAGGACTGTGCATATGTGACCTTGGCTCAGTTGGAGCAGAATGCCTGAGGGCAGTCCTGGAAATTGAGCTTGCACTGGACCAGGAACTCATGGAGTTTTTTAGGGTCAGACCCATCAAAGGTGTCCAGCTCGCAGACTTTGGTTCACAGAGCGCTGGTTGGAGCGGGCTAGGGCATGGATGGCCCAGGTCAGAGCAAGGACTGGGTCATCAAGGGGATCTGCGAGGTTGTCAGGATCATCCTCATCATCAGGCCCATCACCAGGATGGTAGTCAGGATCATTGGGGTCATCATCAGGGTCACCTGGTCCATCTCTGCCAGGGTGAATGACGACAGGAGGTGGCAGAGAGTGGAGGGTGGACTGCTGATGGATGGAGGGTGCAGCGTGTGAGGCACTGTCTGGAGCAGGGTTGGAGTTGGAGCACCCCCTGGAGGAGAAGCTCTGGAAGGGCTCAACAACTGAAGGGAGACATTGGGGGTTTTCCAAGGCTGTCACAAGGGCCTCAGTAGCATCCCATTGTTGGAGACATGTCATGGGAGGCATAGCAGATGTGGTAAGGGAAGTGAGAGAGCTCATACAAGTGACAGTACAAATATACTGTCAAAGTTGGACAACACCCCTGGCTCCTTCTTAGGGCGGAGTTGGAGCGGGTTGGGCTGCGGAGTACAGTGGTCAAAGTCTGAAGCAAATCTGACCACTGGGTGGCGAGATATTCAATGAACAGTGAGTGGAGGGGTATGAAGGAAAGTCTTGGAGGCTGAGGTCAGAGTTGGAGTCAGGGGTCAGAGGTCAGAGGTCAGATGAGAGGGCATTGGGTTCAGCTAGTGTGCTGCCCCCTTGTGTGAGCTCAGCCCTCATATTTCAGAGGTGGAGTGGACTCAGAGGAAGTGGAGACAAAACTCCAGAGGGGACCAAGAGGGAGTCAAAGGTGGGGACTTTATTTGATATTTGTACTGATTACATCGGAGTACTACATGGCCTTATATACAATGTAGGTCAAGGGCAGTGCAGTGCGGAATGTAGACCAATAAGTGTATAATGGGTTAGTAGTCCCTCTGACACAAGGGATAGAGGCTAGGGACAATGGGGACCTTAACTAAGACAAGGAAACCACTACAACAAGCAACAGAGGGTAAATACTGAAGGAGCAGAAGAATGGAGAAAACTGACATGAGGGTGGAACCCTATCTAGAATGCAGGGCCGCAAGTCCAACAGCCCATGTGACCAACCCTAGGGCAGAGTTGAGTGGAGTTGGTCAGAACATGGACAGGGGACCTCAGAGAGGTGTGGAGATGTGTTGGGAGGGTCAGAGGAGCATGGGAACACGTTGGAGGAGGGTGGAGAAGCGCAGGAACATGGCAGAAGAGGGCAGAGAAGCATGGGAACATGTTGGAGGAGGGCAGAGTAGGTGTTAGGGGCTTATGCTGGTGTCATGGTCATGACAGAGGTAGCCTATAGGTTTCAATATATCTGTGGCATGGTCTGACCTGCCCACTGTTTTTTTGGGAGGTGTCTGATGATTCATGATTTGTAGAGGGGCTGATGTGCATGACTACATCCCTTGTTTGTGCTGTCCTCTTTGCCAGTACTAGTGCAGTCTAACAGTGATGAACATGATGCACATGTCTTCAGCTTGGCTACCTGGCTGAGATGGGCACTGAGCAGTTCCCCCCTATTACTGACCTTGAAATTCACTTGTTCTCAGGATGCTTTGGAGTTGAAGGCTCATTTAGAAGCAAAGATTGATGATGAAGCCATCCTGTTCTCAACTCCTGGCTTTACCAATTTCTTAAAAGCTGTTGTCCACATTACATTTCTCCCCAACTGCATGCTATGTCTGGGGACTGTGCAGTGTGCCTACTCATTCCCCATGATTGAAAACTTGGTGATGCACACAAATCAAAACATGTGCTAGGTTTAGTAGGCAAGACATAATTTTGTAACTTTACAATTGAGCATAAACTGACTTGACCTTGCTTGTGAATGGTCACTGCAGAACCCAAAGGTTCATATATCAATGTCTGACAGATATCCACCTGTGTCAGGTGGCAGAGTTGTAGGAGGAAAGTGTATACCATTTAGCTTCCACCATTGGATGTTACCTCACTTTACCAAGGATGACTTCAGTTCAGAGGTGAGTGGATTGATGGAGAACCATACCTGTGTGGGCTGACCCTGCAGGAGTTCTGTTTCCATGCCATGGTTGGTCAAGAAGCTCTCATTGATACTGTTGTCAATGGTGGAGACAGGCTATATCCAATGATGTCTCATCAAGGTGCTGGAGGATGTCATGGTCTACTATGGTAGTGTGGTGCATGATCCATTGGGTGACCTCATCCAGTTCATGTACAAAGAGATGGTTGGTGTGACCCAGGGCAGTCTGATATATATTGTCTTCTGCAAGAAAGGTCCTGTCATGTGTCAGGTCTTCACTGGTATACAAATGGTCATCAACTACTGGCTTTTCCATAATGGTTTCAGTATCAGCAATGGTGATCTATTGCTGGACTGAAAGTGACAAGCTTCATCACCAAAGAAAATTGCAGAAAGGAAGCAGAGGGTCCAGGAGATTATTGATGATGCATATCACAACCACTTGAAGGCCATGGCTAGCATGACTATCCTAGAATCCTTCAAAAGTATGGTTGAGTGTGAATTTAACCTTGATTGTGACCATTCTGGTTGATATGTGCAGGAGCACTTGAAGGAGGGCAACAATGTCAAGCAGATGGTTACTGCAGGATCAAAATGTTCATATATCAATGTCTCACAGATGTCTGTCTGTGTTGGGCAGCAGAGTGGAAGGAAAGTGTATACCATTCAGCTCCCACCATTGGACATTACCTCATTGTGCAGGGAGTTCAAGCACAAGTACTATGTTGATGTTACAGGCAAGAAGGGTGGCTTCCATGCTGGAGTTCTGCAGATTGGTATTGATTACTCCCCACTACATGCCTGTCAAGTTGTAAACTATCATTCACAATGCTGTTCAGATCTTCCACATTGACCACTGCAAGCCTAGCAACCTTGAACCAGGATACATTGTCAACAAAGTCCACCAACTGATGTAGAAGCTGCTGGTGGTGCTGGGTGATGATGAACTCAGCAGGAAAGGTTGGACCTCCTACACCTGCAGGCACACCTGTGATGATCATTAATTGTATGTATGACACTCCTTGCATGCTTGTCTTGATGTTGTTGTACTGCATGTACCATATCAAGGTGGGCACTTGTGGCATCCAGGGATGCCCAGAAGGCTTATGGTGTGCTAGGTGATTGATGTCAAGGGTAGGGATCTGCCATGTCAAGGATGGAAAATCTCCAACTTGACATGGAGAATCCCTAGTGGGCCATGGAGAATGCCCAGCTAGACCATGTAAAATCCCCAACATGACATGGAGAATCTCCAACACAACATGGAGAATCCCCAGTGGGCCATGGAGAATCCCCAACATGGAATGGAGAATCCCCACCCTTGACATGGAGAATCTCCAACATGTCATGGAGAATCCCCAGTAGGCCATGGGGAATCCCCAACATGACATGGAGAATCTCCAGTGGGCCATGGAGAATCCCCAACATGGCATGGAGAATCCCCAACATGGCATGGAGAATCTCCAACATGACATGGAGATTCCCCAGTGGGCCATGGAGAATCCCCAACATGGCATGGAGAATCCCCATCCTTGACATGGAGAATCTCCACAGGTCCTGGAGAATCCCCACACTTGACATGGAGAATCTCCAACATGACATGGAGAATCTCCAGTGGGCCATGGAGAATCCCCAACATGACATGGAGAATCCCCAGTGGGCCATGGTGTCATGACCATGACACTAGCATAAGCCCCTGACACCTACTCCACCCTCCTCTGACATGTTCCCATGCTTCTCCGCCCTCTTCCGATGTGTTCCTGTGCTCCTCTGACCCTCCTGACACATCTCCACACCTCTCCAAGGTCCCCCATCCATGTTCTGACCAACTCTGCTCAACTCTGCCCCAGGGTTGGTCATGTGGGCTGTCAGACTTGTGGCCCTGCATTCTAGATATGGTTCTGCCCTCATGTCAGTTTTCTCCATTCTTCTGCTCCTTCAGTATTTACCCTCTGTTCCTCGTTGTAGTGGTTTCCTTGTCTCAGTTAAGGTCCCCATTGTCCCTACCCTCTATCCCTTGTGTCGGAAGGACTCTAACCCACTATACACTTATTGGTTTACATTCCATACTGCACTGCCCTTGACCTATGTTGTATATAAGGCCACATAGTACTCCGATGTAATCAGTACAAATATCAAATAAAGTCCCCACCTTTGACTCCCTCTTGGTCCCCTCTGGAGTTTTGTCTCCACTTCCTCTGAGTCTGCTCCACCTCTGAAATACGAGGGCTGAGCTTGTGCAAGGGGGCAGCACACTAGCTGAACCCAACGCCCTCTCATCTGACCTCTGACCTCTGACCCCCAACTCTGACTCTGACCTCAGCCTCCGAGACTTTCCTTCATACCTCTCTGCTCACTGTTCATTGAATATCTCACCACCCAGTGGTCGGATTTGCTTCGGACTTTGACCGCTGTACTCCGCAGCCCAACCCGCTCCAACTCCGCCCTAAGAAGGAGCCAGGGGTGTTGTCCGACTTTGACACATGGAGAATCCCCAACATGTCATGGCAAATCCCCATCCTTGACATGGAGAATCTCCAACATGACATGGAGAATCCCCAGTGGGCCATGGGGAATCCCCAACATGGCATGGAGAATCCCCACAGTTGACATGGAGAACCACCACAGGCCATGGGTGCTCTCCAACATGACATGGAGAATCCCCACACTTGATAAGGAGAATCCCCAACATGACATAGACTCAATCCCCAGCAGGACATGGAGTATGCAGTTAGAGGATCACCTTCCCTGTCCTTTACACCAACTGCTGATATACCTTGTGGTGTTGTTAGTGTTTGAGCCACTCAACAGTTCATTCTTTCATAGAACAATACTCTCTGCTTCATGTTCCTTGTCTCCATCCTCTCACACCTGTGTGATTTTCCTGGTGACAAAGAGGTGATGGTAGTGTCCCAACTTCTATTTGTTGACTTCATCATGGGAGTTTGTTGGTGTCCAAACTGTCCTCCATCATCTTGTTAGAGCAGCATGAAGGGCAGGGTGAGCTAAAGCACAGGGTAGGTTAGTTTGAGTGCATAAGGATGAGTGGAGTGTTTGGTCAGGGGGATGTTTCCTGAGAGTTAACACCCAGATGATTCTGTTGTCATATGCAGAAGGTGTCATTCTACCTCCCCTTTCCTCTATCATCTGCCCTGCCCCTTTCTCCCCCTGTACCACTCACCTGCTGTCTGTTCTCCTCCATCCCCCCTGCCTTTCAAGGATTCCTCCTGATCACCTAGGATTCCAATGCAAGTGCCATAATTGATGGTCTCAAGTTGTGTCACTCTGTAAGAATGGCTTCCAACTTTCCATGGCCTGGGAACATGGGTCTATTTAGCCTGGGGAAAGCCCAGGTTCACCCTGGCAAGTGGGGCTATTTAGCCTGGGGAAATCCCATGTTCAACCTGGAAAGCAGGTCTATTTAGCCTGGGGAAATCCCAGGATCAACCTGGAAAGGGGGTCTATTTAGCCTGGAGAAAGCCCAGAATCAACCTGGAAAGGCAGTCTATTTAGCCTGGAGAAAGTCCAATTTGGACCCCAGCTACCCTTTCATTTGATGTATAATATATATATATTATGGAGAAAACATTTTCTCCAACCCTATTAAATTGCTGCTCTGGAGAATCTCCAGGAATGGTGGTGGAGAATCCCCAAAAGTTGGGAATTCCCACCAAAATGAAACCTATTAGGTTAATACTTATATCAAAATCTCCAGACCTAATAGGTCTCTGAGGGGGGTTGACTGAAGTGTGCAACCTTTCAACTTGTCTACAAGCTGAGATATTAAAGGGAGAGGATATGAATTATTGAGAGTATGTTCATGTAAATAATGATAGTCCTGGACCATACACTTCTTTCCATCCTTTTTAGGAACATAGAACACTGGAGAGGTTTGTGGTGATTTACTAGGCCATATGTAGCCTTCTTGAGCTGACTGTCCATGAAGTCACTGACTTCTTTCTGCTCATCAAGGGAGAGAGGGATCAACCTTCCTTTCTTTGGTATGAACAACTCCTTTAGTTCTATGGTGTGGTCCCAAGGTTTCCTAAGTGGCATCTGCTCAGATTCCTTTTTGGAAAAGACTGATAAATATTCATGATATGCCTTTGGAATAAGTTCCTCAGGGGTTTTATCCATTTTTGGTTTGTCTGTTCCTAGATTTTGAATCCAGGTTATGTAAGAGTCTATGGCTTCTCTTTCAAGCCTTTCAACCATGTGTATGAACAAGGTTTTAGGGCCAGCTGTTGGCATCTGGCCGGACATCTGCCCATTTCGACCTTGCCAGTTTTCTAATCTATCAGCAGGTTGTGTTGATGTAACCAGGTATGACCTAAGATCATGGTGCTACCTCCTAGATTGGTAATCTTGGCAAGAAGTTCCTCATGATGGTCAGGGTATGAGACTCAAAGGTGAGCCTGATGCATAATCCTTCCAGCAGAATTAGGCAAACCATTAACATTAAATACATCAACTGCCCTTGGCAGTGCTATTTTTGGAATCCAGTTCCTCTCAACAAAGTCCTTATCTATAAATACTCCAGTAGCACCACTATTGAGCAGCACATTGACCTTGAATGCTGATCCAGCATTTGTTTGTAAAACCAAAGGGACCTCCACAGAATATTTTAGGTTCAGTGTGTGTCAGGTTTCAGACTGTACAGAGGTCTTTGCACTACTACCCTCAAGATCTGGGAGATCAAAAGAAACATTTTTTTGTTTTTTGTTGCAAGCAGAATTAAGCAGACATGGTTTTACATCTGGCCCTGAGCCCTTTTGAGACTCCACTTCAGATGATGTAGAAGAAGCCACTCCACCTCTTTTTAGCACATGCACACAGCCATCCTCCATGCATGCACTGGATCCTTGACTCCAGAGCCTCTGCTCACATGAGCTGTCAATACAGTTGGTTCACCTCACTTACACAGCTCACACCTATGCAGCCTATCACAGTCACAAATGGAAACACTGTGCATGCAGTTGCAGTCAGCCATATAACTCTCGATATGGACCTCAGGGACAGACAGAAAAGTTGCATCATCCTACATGATGTCTACTACATGCCATCTTTAAGCTCAAACTTGCTGTCAGTCTCATCTGTCACCAGTCAGGGAGTATGATTCACCTTTGAACAAGATAAATGTCAGTAGGTCAACAGCCAGTGGGGAACTGTTGGAGTTGCTGCTCATAAGAAGACAAGACTCTACATACAGTGAGGGACAAAAGTGTTGCAATGTTTGTGAGGTGTGACTTTCTGCCAATGTAGCTCAGGCTATTCTGCACAGATAATCATAATACCTATACCATTGGAAAGGGGTGACTCTAAGCTTTCCAGAGCACTAAGGTCCATTCCAAAAAAAGCAATACATGCTGAGATACACCCTATTCTTTCCAAAAAGTGCATTGCAACACTTTTGTCCCTGACTGGTGAAATAGTGAAAAGTGACCTTTTGATGGGATTGAGGGCATGAAGGATGGGAAAATATGATTACATAATAAACCACATGATCTTCCAGATGATTTGTCAGCATGTAAACAATGACAAACATTGGACATGTACCATTAACCCTCCCTCTTTTACCACAACTCATGAAATCATCTCTCTAGCTCACATGGTCATTTTCTCAAGGAATTCTTACCAAATACTGGTGGCCACCACAGTGCCATCAGTATAACATGCTCTCAGAACCATCAGTCCCTTAAAAAACCTGCTGTCAGTCGTTCCCTGGACTGTTTACCCCCCCATGCCTGATGTGTTTTGGGACTAATCAGTACTTGGAAGGCTGAGAATGTTTTGGAGGTCAATCTGGCACTTCAGAACATGATGGAAAAACCAGTCCCCTATCAGCCAATTCATTTTTGGCACAGGAACACTGGTATGGAAGTTGGGGTGAGACAAAACCTCCTTGTGCTCTGAGCACCATAAGAGGGTTCACTAGATCTTGCTCTGATCTGAACTGTAGCTGACTGGGGAAAGGTTATTTGGTCATATGTGACAAAAGGCAATATTCAGGGCCAGATGGAAGCACAGGATTCTGCTCCATGGCAGTTCAGTAGCATATCCTTCTGATGACACCCAGGGGTAAAGAGGATTTTGTCTTGCCCTAACTTCCATACCACTGTCCATGTGCCAGAAATGCATTGGTTGAGAGGAGGCTAGTTTGTTCATCATGTTCTGAAGTGCCAGATTGACCTCCAAAACATTCTCAGCCTTCCAAGTACTGATTAGTCCCAAAACACATCAGGCATGGGGGGGTAAACAGTCCAGGGAACGACTGACAGCAGGTTTTTTAAGGGACTGATGGTTCTGAGAGCATGTTATACTGATGGCACTGTGGTGGCCACCAGTATTTGGTAAGAATTCCTTGAGAAAATGACCATGTGAGCTAGAGAGATGATTTCATGAGTTGTGGTAAAAGAGGGAGGGTTAATGGTACATGTCCAATGTTTGTCATTGTTTACATGCTGACAAATCATCTGGAAGATCATGTGGTTTATTATGTAATCATATTTTCCCATCCTTCATGCCCTCAATCCCATCAAAAGGTCACTTTTCACTATTTCACCAGTCAGGGACAAAAGTGTTGCAATGCACTTTTTGGAAAGAATAGGGTGTATCTCAGCATGTATTGCTTTTTTTGGAATGGACCTTAGTGCTCTGGAAAGCTTAGAGTCACCCCTTTCCAATGGTATAGGTATTATGATTATCTGTGCAGAATAGCCTGAGCTACATTGGCAGAAAGTCACACCTCACAAACATTGCAACACTTTTGTCCCTCACTGTACTTGCTGCAAAACCATGCACCCAAAACAATGCCTCATACATGCTGAATAACTCCATCTTCCTGTTCTGCAATTCCAACATCTTGCTGTCCAAGTCATGTGCAGGGTCAGAAGCTTCACTCAAAAGCCAACACTCTAGCCTGGACTGGTGTGCAAGTAGAAAACCCACGCATGGACTTGTCAGCACAGATATGGTTGATGAAACAGAAGTTACAGACTCCACACAGCATCCTATGGCAGTGTATCACCTTCATCTCAAAGAAACACAGCAGATCAACTTAACCCCACCTAAGTCCTATCTTAACAACACTCATGGTGCACTCTACCAGACCTACTCAGCCTTCAATGGATCCATACAAACATCTTGGACAGACCATCAGTCAGAAAAGACCCTTGACTCAACCAACAAGGTTCATGCTCAAGCAGAAATCAAAACTGGTGAATGTCCTAAGCACCTCTTGACCAATGGTAAGGGTGAATACAACTCAGAAGAGTTAATCACCTACCTCAAGCCCAAGACAGCCTGCTATGAGATGTCAAACACACAAACTCCAGGCCACATAGCTGAATGTGCAACTCACACACTTGTCCTGCCCAGCAAGAACTGCATGGACACAGTCATACCCACAGTACATACTCCAGGCACACTAACAAACCATACTACATTTGACAATACAACCCCAGAGGCATCTGCATGCCAGAATACATTGGGTGTCCACAAACTTGAGACACACAGCATCATCCCTCTTGAGGGTGACTACCCAGGGTCAAACAAAGCAGTCACAGCCAAGTTACCTGTAGGCACTCAAGCTGTGAGCAGGGAAAAAGCAGCAAATATGATGCAGACTCACCAACCACCTCTACAAATGCAGGTGCTGGTAGCACAAGCACAAACCTGGGGCAGATGGGCCTAGAATCTTCAATTGGGCATACCCAGTGCTAAGGACATCCCTGGAAAGGTCAAAGGCAGCCCAAATGAGCCACTCATCAAACACAATCAGTCCCCAACACTGTCTGAGGAGCCAGATAAGTGCTCCAGTCAAACAGAGGCTCTTGCCTCAAAATCTAAACAAACCTTGGTTGAAAAACCAAGTAGCCATCCTACAGGATGTAGCCAGCCACCTCCTAGGGCCATAGGTCATCTACAAAGCCTGCTATAACAGTGCCCAAGCCTGGAATCACCTTGAAAGTCCAAGTTAGCTCCAAAGCACCCCAAGCCATCATTTCACACCAGCTACAGCCTCTCTCTTGAAAATTGGGATGCCAAATCAACCTATGGGAAGGCTAGTGTCAGTACAAGAGGCAATGAGGGTGGAGGAGGCAAGATGACAAGTGTAGAGGGCCAACACACAGTCAGCAAGGCTGCAGAGGTGCATCAGAACAATCAACAATGGACTGCTTACAAATCAAATGCATGTGCACACAGCAACTCTGTGCCACACAACAAAGCTACTCACAGCTCAAATGTTGGCCCCAGAAGTGCCACCAATGCAAATTCCTCACATACAACATATCTACACAAGGTGTTACATGAAGGGTATGGATTTATTTTTCACACCATGACTCACTGAGGGGGTGTGTTGGAATGTACTGCTGTTCTGTACAGTGAGCACTGCTTACATAATAATTCCATACATTTTAGCCACTCCATTTTTCCTTGTACCTCAGACTTCATCCTACTTCAAAGAGTGAGGTAATGTCCCTTACTGGTATTATACCCTACTTTTACTTACCAGCTTGAGTAGTTTTCACACTCTGGGTTGGTTAATAATATAGACTTCATCCTACTTTGAAGACTGAGTTTTCACACTCTAGTTTGCCCTGCAACCTTGGTACCTTCTCAAAAGCTTCCTCTTGCATTCCTGCTCCCCCTTCATCAGGAGCACCCCTAACCTTCAGCACTCATCTTTGAGTGTTGTATATTACAAAAACCTGCACAAATAAGACCTTCCACCATCTAGGTACTGCATAGGCACACCACCACTTGCTTTCATTGTCTTTTGTGTTGGTTGTGGTTGGCTTCCACCACTGAACCACACTTTGACTTACAGCATGCAGCATGCACTGAAGAATATGTTGGAATGTGACAATTCATTTTGGAGGTAAAATTCTAACATATGGTCATGCCAAGTACTGCCCCAACATTTTGCAAATATAAGAATCATCCAGTTTTCTCTTGGATCATGTTTTCTCATGGTATAATTCCATCATCCACTCTGACTCATATTTGGTCATGTCTGGCCACACCCAGACAACTCAAGTGTTCACTAGGGTTGACATCTGCCAGGAGCACTTTCTATTGAAGATCCCCACTCCTATCAGCATTACTCACCTTTTTATCAGTCATTCATCCACTCCTGCATAACTTGTCAACAACTTGTGCTAAGAGCACTTCCACTTGAAAAACACCCAGTTTAGATTTTTCTGCCCTCCAGGTACCACAGAGGCACACCACCACTTGCTCTTATTTGTGTTTGGTGTTGTTTTTGGTTGGTTCACACCACCTTTTCACACTTTGACTCACAGCATGCTCAACTGAGATCTGTATATAGATTTCTGTGATGCCTTTACATTGTGGCAGGGTAGATCATGCCATGGACAGGACTGTCTTTTATGTTGTGACAGGGTGGATTCTACCATGGACAGGCCTATCTATATGTTGTGTTATCCTTAACTCACACAGGCCTACCCACATGTTGTGATCACCCACTCACAGGCCCACTCATAGGTTGCTGTCACTCTGGCCCCACAGGCCTGTTCATGTGTTATGTGTAAATTATGTTGACAAGCCCACACCAGGCTCTACATGAAAATGGTGTTTTGGCATGCAGGCTACCCATATGTTGTGACTAAGCATGACTACATTATGTGATACACTGTGGGGATTTGTGGAGAAGCAAGCCCAAGGGGGGGTAGATCTCAGATCCAGACAATTGATGCATCACATTTCACTACTGATATGTCAACTACTGGTGGTGAGGGAGGTGACCTGTTCTCAAAACTGGTACAAAATGCCTCTTGGCCAACAACCACCACCATCCCCCATTGGAAAGTCTTGCTCCACTGCCAAACACCAATGCTTTTCATTGGTCCCCTGCACCATCCTCACTGAGGTAGGAAGGTGCTTTCATGCTTTCCCTAAGGGTACCTTCAAGTCCCAGTTCATGCCACCAGCTGTCCTGAAGGCAGTACTTCACTACCTTGCAGCCCACTCCCCCACTTGGTCTTGGACCACAAAGGCTGGCCCTCATGCCAGAAAATCTCACAACATCCCCAGTGTCCCTATCTCCTGTGGTAAGGACAGCCCAAAGGCAATCCAATGGCTTGTCTCCACTTTTCACTGCTTCAAATCAGAGTTGGCCCCCCTGGCCCTTGCACCAGAGAGTGGGCAGATGCTCCCCAGCTATGTAAAACTCTACCAGAATAACATGCTTGAAGCAAACAAAGATGAGAGTCTTCTCAGCTATCACTTCAAACCAGAGAGATTGGGAGTGGAACCCCTTGATTGAGAAACAAGCTCAAAACAAACTAGATTAGAGAATCTGGCTATGACAAACAATGGGACTTATATACTGCCTTACTGTTTGTATGTACTGCTGCAAAAAAATGTTCTAGAAAGAAGTAAACAGAAGAGAGAACTACATTATTGGATGAATGTGAACATGTGCTTGTAACAAGGTATGGCCCTACTAGGTATCATGTAAGCATTAAAAAGGAGAAGTCCAAGATGACTAAGCATCCCTAAAGTGTAACCCTAACCAGAGGGGGGATATATATAGGCAACTAGGAAACATGAAAGTGAAAGGTCTACCAGTCGTTACACTATCCCCTCCTAAGGCCCAACTTCCAGGCAAGACCAAATAGGACAAACAGTAGTAAACAGTTCCAGCACAGGTGTGAACAAGCTGTCAAAGCTTGCTGATGAAAGGAGAGATAATTTACAGGGTGCCCTGGGGTGGGATTGATAAAAATCCTTGATCACCAACTGTGAATTCTTCAAGGTGGAGGCTGGCTCCCAAGTATGATCTTCTTCAGGGTATCCCCTCCAATGGACAAGGAATTGAAGAGCTCCACATTTCAAATGGGAGTCAGCAACATATTCAACCTTGTATTCAACATCTCCTTCATCAGTAACCCTTTGTGGTCCAGGCCTGTTGACAGGCTGCCCATCAAGGGCACCAAGGTAGGGTTTAACCCATGAGACATTCACAACTGGGTGAATCCTCATGTTGTGCAGCAACTTTAACTTAAGAGCATTCAGAAGTATCTCTAAAACCTCATACAGTGTCACACACCAAAGGTGTTTGGTGAGGTGGACATGGATACAGCTGATGAGTGGAGATGAAGACTATAGCCCTCATGTGAAGAAGGACAACCAGAAATGTTGGCAGTCATCCCTTGCACAAGAATGAGTCATCAATGCCAAAGAAAAAGGAGGAAGTGAGTTAAGCACTGATAAAATTCTTAAGCACCCATGTATGGCATTCCAGTTTTTGACATATCTCTGCCATTTCTGCAGATACCAAAACCATTCACACACTTGCTTGTAGTGCTCAGCCATGTGATCCTACCTTCCAAAATTGGAGAGGATCTGTGCACTCCACACATTTCTACAGCACTCCCTCCAAAAGATGCTCATTTCACTAATTCTTCTGATATGGCTGCCTCCACATCAATCATTTTGCTTGTCCCATTTGCTAGGGACCATGGCTACATATATCTACCAGGAGTTCCTACCAGCTTCCATCCTGAAGCATCCTGGTACATCCCATCCTTGTCTGCCCCCTCTCAGCCCATCCAGCTTGGACAGCACATTCTTTTTGTCAGTATGACCTCTAGGAGGACATTCTTTGGTTGCCTCAGGTCTGTCATTTGTTTGGAAAGGTCTTATGTGGTCATTTCAGTCTCTCCAGTCCAAGAAGCATACGGATCCTTCCTCCCTGCTCCCTGCAATGTCTTCATACCAGTCTCATCCATCATTCTTCCAAAATTGCGACAGCTACAATATAATCTACTGTTCTCCACTCTCCCTGATTGCACCCATGATGAGTATGATGCACATCTTGCCTCCTTGTTGCAACATACAGCAGAAGATGCTCCCCCTTCATCCTCTCTTCCAACAGAGCCTCATTCATGATGTTTTTATTTGCTTCACTGAGAGGATGATTTGGGGGGGAAAGTTGTGATCCCCTATGCTCCTGTCACCCCACAGACCCCCAAAGCTTGACCCCTGTTGACATCTGACTCACCCTGTCCACTTTTGGATGTACTATATCAGCATCAAATCAGTGCTGCCTCTCTGTCATTCCATTTTGGCCCAAAGGAGATCTCTTTGAGATGTGACATGCACAGCCTCCCCCTAATGCAATTCCAGTGCACTTTCCCAGTTCCTGACATTACTTGACTCATATTTTGACATTCTGACTGTTCTTGACACACCTTTTGCCAATACTTACCAATCTTTTGACCTTGCTTACTGATCCTTTGCTTTTTGGCTTACTTATCCTTACCAATGCTTACCAATGCTTTCTAAGATGATTACCCATCACTTACATTCCTTACTCCTCAGTTACCAATCACTTACCAAGTGTTTGCACCTTGTTTTCCATAGGCAATGCCCCTGTACTGTATATAAATCACTGTACTTAGATAGCTGAAAAAGAAGAAGATGTCAGAGAGCCCTTCTTGCTCACATTTTATCATCACTCAGTGAATCATTCATCAGTTTCAATAGTTGAGGCTTTATTAAGGGTCTAACTATTGTCTACTTCACTTATCATCATCTATCATCAATCTACTTCGCTCCAAGCCCTTCCTGAGCTCAGTGCAGCCTAGGACATCGAATAAAGTTGTCATCCATCCTTCTGTAGGCTGACAGCAGTCTACCCCATTGCACTCTATTGCATTCTTGCTCCCTCTTTGTCAGGAGCACCCCCAACCCTCAGCACTCATCTTTGAGTGTTGTAGCTCACAAAAACCCTCCCAAAGAACAGGTCCCACCATCTAGGTACTGCTTAGGCACACCACCACTCACTTTCATCATCTTTTGTGTTGGTTTTGGTTGGTTTCCACCACTGAACCTCACTTTGACTCACAACAGTCTGATCCATTTTTCAGAAAGCTTGTGGCTCTGCCATTCTTTCAAGGACAGATGGTCTGTAGCTAGCCAGACCTGAGACCCAACAGAGTAGGAAGGAGCAGATGAGTGGCATCTATCTGCTTGTTGCTTTTGCTGGGAACAGGCTTTGGCAAGGTTTGCTTTTACATCTTGGAACACTTGGAACCAAGACTTGGCAAGTTCCTCTGCTGCTTCTACCTTTGAAGTCATCAGTCTGACGCCCATCCTAGGTCTATAGGATCGAGTAACTTTGAAGGGGCACTTGCCATTAGAAGATGAGGCAGAGTTGTTGTATGCAAACTGAGCCAAGGGTAGCCATTCCTCCCAGCAAGCCTGTTGCTGGTTGGCATACATCTGTAGATACTGTTGGATTTTGCAGTTCAATCACTCTGTTTGTCCATCTCTTTGTGGGTGGAATGCTGTAGAGAGTTTCTGTTGTCCTCCCAACATTTTAAATAGTTCCCTCATGAAAGCAGAGGCAAACTGAGGGCCTCAGTCCGATACAGTAGAGTCTGGAAG